ATAAATGACTATAAATTGCTGGTTTTGCTAATTTTGTGTCTGATTGTTTTTCTATTTTCCCTTCAATGTCAGGTACTGAGCAGTAACCTGCTACCTCAAATAGTGTATGACCTCTTAGCTTATATATGAAACCAGGTAAATACGGGTGTTAGAATTATGTGTTAAATAAGAGTACTCTAGATAAGACCCCATGACCAATTCAGTGGTGGCCACTATTCAGAAGGCTTTTTAATTTACCTACAGTTTAGAAGTGTTCTGAGGGCATTTTGGTACCTCACTTATGTAACCAAACCAGAGCACACGCAGTGGGTGTGGTTACTGGTAATCTAAGCATTAGGAAATTAAAAACAAATAACCTCTTACATTGTATTAATGGGAATCAATGACTGAAGAAATTGTATGGGTACAAAGAAGCTATAAGGCTAAATGGCAGAAGTGACAAGGGTCACGTGGGAAAAGCTGGTATAAATTCTGCAAGTTTGTTAACATACAGAACTAACATTTTTTACAGCTCTTTCTAGCTTCATAATTTTTCTCTAACCAAACTGAAATTAAAACAACTGTGCCAATTACTGTAATGTCTCCCAACAGTGCAAACTATAGGTTTTACACATTTAATAGATTCCTGTGTTCGGCATATTCTTTACTGGAAATAAAAGACTAGTGACTATTTCTATTTAGGTCCTTCAATCTCCATCCGATCCACAGATAATATTCTCTTAGATGAGAGGAGGAGGAAGCACTTTTTACACTTTTGGGAAAGAGCTGGGAGATTCTTCATTCTGACTTTTAAGTTGTGTGGAGGTATGAAGTTCCTCTAATCCGGAGCTGTAGTTCTCCACCCTGGTGCTTATCAAAATCAAAGCTTTAAAAGATTCTGATACCTGGGCTGCACCACAGAACAATTAAATCAGGAACTCTGGGTGTGGGACCCAGGTATTTGTATTTTTAAAAAGCTTTTCAGATTATTCTAGTGAGCAGCCAAGGTTGAGACCATCATTCTACTCTTAAGTGTGATTCCTGGACCAGCTGTATTAGCATCACCCAGGAGCCTGAAGAACTGCAGAATCTCAGCCCTTAACCTACACCAATAAAATCAGAAGCTGAATTTTAGCAAATGTGCAGGTGATATATATTTATGTTAAAGCAGCTGGCTCAACCTGAACTAGCATCACATGGAAACCTGTTAGAGGTGAAATTCTCAGGGCTCACTCCAGACCTCTGAATGAGAAACTCTAGCGCAGGACCCAGCAATCTGGTTTTTGTAAGCTTTCCAGGCGATGCCAGTGCTGCTCAAGTTTAAGAACTACTGCTCTGGATGGCCTGACAACCACAAGGCAGAGCTGACTGTGTTGGGCTCACGTGAAGGTACTGAAGAGGCTATGAGGCAGACAGCTTCTCTATCTCTGTTAATGAATTGCACCCTCATCCACTCAGCAGTCACCCAAGCCAGAAACCTGGGAGCCTCCTCAATTCCCTCTCCACCAATAATCAATCACCTTCTAAACAGCTGTAAAGTCCATTTCCAGCCCCACTGTCTCTTTAGTTAGCACTTCTCTCACCTGTATGACTAACAGCCCTGACTCTTGTTTTACTTCCATGTCCCCCAATTTATTTGTCTTTACCCTACAGTCAGGGGTGGTATGTGCTCTCCTATGTAAAACCCAGTATCAGTGATCTACTGCTCTCAGGATAAAGTCCAAGCACCTTAACTGGCACATAAGGTAACACACTTATTTTGCCAGTCAAGCTCATCTCTTACTCTCATTCAACCCCGTACACTATCTTCATGGAGAATTTCTCAGTTTCTTGACTGAACCACGCTATTTCTGGGTCTTTTGCACATGCTGTTCTAACAGCCTAGGACACAACTTCCCCATCCCACTCATTTCATGGTCGGCCTCAATTTTGATGAACTTTCACTTCTGCTCAGCTTAGGTATCAATTCTGCAAGGAAAATTTTCCTGACTCCTGTCTGGGTTATGTGCCCATCTTGTGTGATTCCACAGCCTCTCTCCTTACTTATCCCAGTGCTGTTCCCCAACACCCAGGCATTGATTGTGGCTACAGAGCCAGCACCTAGCTCACAGGAAGTGTTCACTAAAAATGCACTGGTTGAATGAATGGATGGATAGCACCAAATTCTCACCCCCACGCAGGAAGCTGTTAGAGCCCTGCATTTTATATGTACAACCCTCTTAGATCGTCTAAGAAAGAACGTTTTTTGAATAAAATTTTCTGATCTTTACTAATGTTCAAAAATTAATGTATAATCTTAAATCAAAATGCCAGTGAGGCTACAGGGCTATGATTTTTCTGACTTGGAAAATTTTCCATATTCATTAACTCAACAGCCACCTGTTAAGTCCTTATTATGTTCAGGGCTCAGGGTAACAGCAACTTTGGAGATACAATTGTGAAACTGCATACTGCCCTAGCTGACAGTCTAAGGAAAAGATAAGTCACATACACATACAACCCTAACCATGGTAGAGTGCTGAATTATAATGGAGGCGCCAGAAAGTACTAGACGGGATTGAGAAGTGAGAGGCTCCTTCTTAGTAAGAGAATCAAGAAAGACTTCATAGAAGACATAGAATTTAAGCCAAGCCTTGAATGACAAGAATGATGGGGGCATTTGGTGACAGCTAAGGACCAGCATAAGCAAAAAGAGAAGTAGAAGGCCCAGAACAGGCAAAGTGTAAGTGAAGAGCTCAATATGACTTTCAAAGAGTACAAAAGGAGTGGGAGAAAATATGTTTGGTCAGGGGAGGCTGCATTACAGAGGATCCTGAATTCCTTCTGAGCTGTTAGTAAAGACTGAGGAGGAGAGGGACAGATCAAGATCAGGAATCTAGTCATCTTTTGTGAGAAGGATCTGAAAGGGCAGTGAGATGGCAGTGAACAAAAGTGAATGAACAAAAAATATACCATTCCAGACAGTTCCAATGAACTAGAATGCTGATGTCCCATAAGTTTGGGAAAGGAAAACTCTTTCTCAATTTTGTTAATAGTATAGCTTTTATTAGTGTTAATTCTACTTTAAATAATTATTTAAAATTAAAATTATAAGTATTACATATTATATAGTTGTGATATATAAATGTAACGACATATAATTACAACTATAAATTATTAAATTATCAATTCAACATTTTAAAATAAATTATTTAAATTAAATGTTAATTTTAGTAATTTCCAAAGAATCTCTGCTGTAATTTTACCTTTACTCTTTCTTCTCTTCTATTCATTGTACTAGAATGCTTCAAACACCTTTTCTTCTCACAGAAACATACAATATAATAGACCTAGAAGGAAAGCCCTACCTCCAGCTATTTCTCTCAACCTTACCACAGATGAACAACTAAATTCAGGAAAACAAGAGAAGCTGAATTACAATCTTACTGACTGGAACATAACTTCTCTCACCAACTCCACCTCTAGGTATGACTGCTTCCTTTTAAACTGGTTAAGAAGGGCCCATAGGCTCTGAGCTGGAATATCCCACCAGCCCATCCAATTCGGATCTGTGCTTTTTGGTTTGGAAGCTGGGTTTAAAAGACTAATCTCCATACAATATCTGTATTACAAAACCCTGACACCTCATAGGCAGGATGGTTCTGTGGTTCAGTACAGCCACCAGAGAGGAGGCAAATGGATTCAATCACATAGTCCCCATGACTCAGGAAATGCTTTCTCTTTAATGCACTGATCTAAGGCCATCACTAAATGTGGCTTTCTCAATGAAATTTTAAAAGGACTGCTCTCTAAGAATATATAACCCATTTTGTTAGTCAGATTCTAAAATCTACCACACCTCATCTACTGAAAGGGTGTAGAATAACAAGCCGTGCTGTGATCTCACTGCACTTTGATAAACCCTGCTATTAGGCAGGCCTACCTTGTTCACCAGCTCAACTGCGTAACAATTAACAATTTAAATGTACTACCTACACAGTAAAGAAGAACATCCCCTAATCCAAAAAGTGCTTATTTTGTTTAGGACTAGATTAAATAACAGGAACTTGAAAGGTTCTTTGTTTGTATTAATTCCTCCAAACTAAAGTCACATAAAACAAAGGATGATGAAAACAAATGCAAAGAGTTCAAAGACAGACATCTAATACATGGCATGTCAAATAGTTTTTTTAAAAAGGCCACTATAAATTCACAGGTGTGAATTCTAGTTTGAACATTTTAATCCACAGCTAACTATGAAATTGGGTCTTCAATTTGATGTTCTGTCTCAATTAATAACTGGCAAAGAAGTTGGCAGGTAATGTATTTGAAGCAAGACATTATTCTCTACCCTGGAAATCTATCATGTTCAAGATCTAATTTCAAGAGGAACCACTTCATGTGTGTTGGATGACGAGAAGCCCCCAATTGGGATGCAGCAATTTTTTGGATTTTTTGAGACAGGCTGTCACCCAGGCTGGAGTGCAGTGGCACAATCTTGGCTCACTGCAACCTCCGCCTCCTGGGCTCGCGTAA